GGACTGGCCTGAGGGATTTTAAAGGGGGTTTTAATTACTTTTAAATTGGACATATTTAAATATTTCGTTTTAATCAAATTTTAATTAAGTATATGTATATATGTTAGTATTTTATTCAATTGTCAGCCGCCCTGAGTCCGTAAGGAGAAGGGCAGGATATAAATGCAATTAATAAATAAATAAATAAATAAATAAATAAATTTTATTTCAGCACGAACTATCCAATCTCATTTTCACTATCTTGTCTTCTGGGGAATTTTGGGAGCGGGAGTCCACTCATTTTAAAGCTGCCGAAGTTGAGAAACACTGATCTAGTATAAATGCAAATTCAGCCAGCAGTTCAACCAGTGCTGATCCTCTTTCTGTGTTTCTTTCCCTTTTCAATCCCAGCGCATTGTGATCGGAGATGCCTCGGAGACGGCCCTACTGAAATTCTCTGAAATCACCCTCGGCAACGTCATGGAGTATCGGGAGCGCTACAACAAAGTCTGTGAGATTCCCTTCAACTCCACCAACAAATTCCAGGTTAGCCGCTGATTTTCTGTCCTTTGGTTCCAAGAAGTTCAGCAAGGGCCACCAAAAGGAACGCTGATTCAGAAAGTACTGAATTAACCTGGCATTTAAGTCTTAGTTCATTGCCCAAAGCCAAGAAGCTAGAAAGCTGCCCATTGGGTATGGACAACTCTCATGAATTCTATGATCTCCCCTACAATTAGCTGTCTGTCCATGAGCTTGACGATCCCAGAGACCAGCGCCACCTGCTGGTGATGAAAGGCGCTCCTGAGAGGATCCTGGAACGCTGCTCCACCATCATGATTAAAGGCCAGGAGTTGGCCCTTGACGAGCAATGGAGGGAAGCTTTCCAAACAGCTTATATGGACCTCGGTGGGCTGGGCGAGCGTGTGCTGGGTAAGAAAGAATGGTTCGATGACTGAAGTTTTCATTAAATAATTTTTTAAAAAATCTACCGGTAGTCCAGCTCTGTCTTTAAGAATCTCATCAAAATGCCCTTTTTCTGGCTCTTCTCCTTCACTGTCCTGTTGAGCCCTTCCAAGTGGCAATTATGCTCTCATGAGCAGCGTGGAGCCACTCCTGAACAATTTCTCAGAGGTATTTTACATGAGCAATGTTCAGGAAGTTTAAATAATGTCTTCTTGAGCTTCATTCATTCTGTGTATGGCAACTACCAAGGTATTAACCATCACCCTCAGGAGTGTCAACTACTTGGATTATGAGAAAGCTGAAATATCAAGGGAAGCACCGTAGCCTAGTTTGAGTATTGTGGACTAAGCGAACCTGGAACTGTATTGAATCTGAATAAGTAGTTTGATTTATGGGCTATGATAGAGGTCTCACAATGCTTATCTCTCGTCCACAGGTTTCTGCCACCTCTACCTTCCTCAGAATGAGTTCCCCCGTGGCTACCACTTTGACAGTGATGAAATGAACTTCCCCACCAGCGGGCTATGCTTTGCAGGCCTTATCTCTATGATTGACCCACCCAGAGCCACTGTGCCCGACGCCGTCATGAAATGTCGCACTGCAGGTATCCGGGTAAGTTCATCAGATGTTCTGATGATTTCAATGACTGGGAAAGTATTCATGATAACGCTATGAAAGCCAGACACGGACACATTGAAATCTTACAAGATCCTAAGATGGTTCTTTCCTAATCTGAGGCTTCTAGGTATGCTGGACTTCAGCTCCCATGATACTTGGGCTTAGTGTGACAAATAAATTTAGAAACAACTGCTGCAATCCCCCTCCCTTCCATTTTTCCCCCCAGGTGATCATGGTAACAGGAGACCATCCAATCACCGCCAAAGCCATTGCTGCCAGTGTTGGCATCATCTCAGAGGGCAGCGAAACTGTTGAAGATATCGCCACGCGCCTCCGCATCCCCGTCGAGCAGGTCAACAAGCGGTGAGCACCTTAATACCCAGATATGTTAAAGAGCTACTTTGAGTGATGGTGGCGCCAGACAAGGAAGATACTCTGTGCAAGGGAAGAAGTGATGTGGCATTGCTGAGGTGCTATTGGGGGGTTTCCTAATCTTGAAGGGGTTTTCTCTTATTTCTAGGGATGCCCGGGCATGTGTGGTCAATGGAGGCCAGTTGAAAGATATGGAAAGTGAAGAGTTGGTTGAGATCCTAAAGATGCATCCGGAGATGGTCTTTGCTCGTACTTCTCCACAACAGAAGCTCATCATTGTAGAAAGCTGTCAGAAACTGGTAAGATCCACTACTTCTTATGGAAAGGGGATATATTCAATACCTACTTTGTACTTTCCCAGCCACTGAAACCAGAACCTTTACAGAATCAGGGATAGTGTTTACATAAAACACCAAGTGTTGGTAATTCTCCCCTTAGATTTTTTTTTCCTTATGGTTTTAATATGTATAAAGGCTGGTCAAAGACCGTAATAAAGATAATTGATTGTGTAATCTCATAAATCACGACTGATTTGTAACTTGATATGAACTTCCCAGATGGATTTTGATGAATTCAATAAACAGGTTAAGCATGTTATGTGGACACAGTCCATAATTAAGTAATTGTCTGCATCCTTCCCTTCCTCTAAATATAATACAATACAGGGTTGCCATTTTTTTTATCCAAATAATTGCTTTGTGAAATACATTAGGCTGAACGGACAAGCATTCTTAATTACATTACTCTGGGATTTATGGAACTACCTGAAGCACTCAGCCTCTGCTCCTTTTGGGTGGACTAATTCAGGGGTCCCCAACCCCCAGTCCGTAGACTGGCATGCCAGAAACTGATCCGCACAAACAAGCAAAGCCCCATCGGCGGGATGCAGGCAGTACATGAAACCATGCTCCTTCCAGTCTGCAGAAAAAACTTTCTCCACGGAGCCGGTCCCTGGTGCTCAAAAGGTTGAGGATCTCTGGACTAATTTTGACATTAGGAAGCTTCTAATTAGCTATACCTTTCCAGAAGGTAGAGCTAAAAATCAGAAAAATCAGAAACTGGTTTTTAGAAAATGAAAAGCAAGAAGACAGACATGGCGTGGCAAACCTTCTGAGCAGATGGAATACTAACGAGAAGTGTTGCCCATTACAAATCTTTGTCCTGAATCCCAGTTGTAAATCCTAAGTCTCACATTTCTCACTCTCGTCCACAGGGTGCAATTGTGGCTGTTACAGGAGATGGGGTGAATGACTCTCCGGCACTGAAGAAAGCCGATATCGGAGTCGCGATGGGCATTGCTGGATCCGA